ACCATCTGACTTTGCCGACTTTGATAGTACATTTTTTATGAATTTGATAATGTTGGATAGGGATTGCTGTGATACAAGACCCATGCCAAGTTTTCGTTTGACCTCCATTCCGGTGGTGACAAGCCAAGCAGCAGCCTTCTCTTTGAATTTAGCGTTCTTCGACTTGACTCTCTCCCACGCTCGATTTTCCAATATCCAATCAGCTTTGTGTCTGTCTTCTATTGAGGAATTTTGTGAATAGGCGAAATCGTGTTCTCGACACGCGTCGTCCAACGGATTGATGCCGGTGTCTCCTCTAGCAAGCCTCTCAACGAGTTTGGTGCCTGGACCACAAATTCTGTAGCCTGGAATGTGTAATTCGATGGGAAGTTCATCGATCAGAGAATTAAGCACACCCTCTCCGTGGTAGAGCAACATGAAGACTGACGGTTAGACAGCTCGACTACTACTCTCATCAGATGATGGAGATCGTTCAACAAAAGTGGACGTTGCCCATCGAGAATTTGGATGAAATTTTATCAATCAAGTCATCGGGTAGTAAACATGGGAAACTGCTTCCTCATTCGTTCAGAGCAATCTTCTGCGGACCAAGCGGATGTGGAAAGACCAATGCGATGCTTTCCCTGCTGTTCAATCCAAATGGCGCGAAAATCAAGAACGTTTACGTGTATTCAAAGTCGTTGTACTAGCCGAAATATCGATTGCTACAACAAGTGTTGGATTCAGTGAAAGGCGTTGGTTATTTCCCCTTCAAAGAGAATGACGAAGTCATTAGTCCATCAGAAGCGAAGAATCACTCGATATTTATTTTCGATGATGTGTCATGTGACAAGCAGCAGAAAATTCGAGAATATTTCTCAATGTGTAGACACAAGGACATTGACGTGGCATACCTATGCCAGACCTATTCCAAGATATCAAAGCTGCTGGTGCGAGACAACAGTAACCTGGTGGTGTCATTTCGACAAGATGAAATGAATCTGAAGCACGTGTTTGATGAGCATGTATCACCAGACATGTCATACGATCAATTCGAAGCGTTGGTTCAGAGTGTTGAAATTCCAGCCAATATGGCGCGATGGTGATTGCGAAAACTTCTGACATAAACGCTGGCAGATCCAGAAATGGTTTCGATAAGTTTATAAGGCTGTGATCTTTGGGTCATTCATCAAGATGACGTTAACCGGGATGCATGATGACGTTGCTGATGCGCTACGCAAGAAAAAAATCAATGAAATATCGAAATCAATCAGACGGAAATATTTAGCTCTGAAATTAGGCAAGTCTGAGGATGATGAAGCGTTACACAAAATATTCCAACCACTGACATCACCTTTGAAACAAATTGCCTCCGTGTCCAAGGTCATAGAAGAAAAACTCGATGGAACACTTCCAAACATCAAGCGAAGCAAAGCAAAGTCGTTGGGGTTGAAGAAGGAGAAGAAGACGGAGAAGAAGGAGAAAGAGGATGGAAAGGTGGAGAGGGAGCAATCGGATTTGAATCAAACTAATTTCATACCTATGATGGATGTGGCTGATGATGCTGGGCATAATGGAGATGATGATGAGGACGGTTATGACAATGCTGATGATGAACTTTTTGCAGATAGTGAAAATATCTCACCGGCTGCAATACATGATTACGTTGATCAGTATCCTGCGATTGCTCAAAAATATCTGACTGAATACTGGACAAATGATGAAAATATTGATACGGTTCATGGTCCAAAATATGATCCAGTAACATCGAAATGGTCTCTCAACGGAAAAGAAATGAATTCCCATCGAAGAACTGGAGATATACTTCTTGATGGCTTTCGGTTCCGTGGCACCCCAGGACCCTATCAATTACTCTTCTATAATGATCCATCCTTTGCCAAAGATGATACGAACCCATACAAGCAAATACTCTTGCTCACCAAAGCTCATCTGAATTCTGCAGGACGTATGAAGTCTTCCTCTAGACTCAAATACGTAGAAATTATTCGTCCAATGTTCAGATCCAATTCCAGTGGTCGTAGTTTGAAGTTGACATACAACACAGCACCTATCAAATACATGTATTGGGATGATCCAAACGAATTGGTAGATAGATTGAAGTTGCTCATTGCATCACAGCAAGCCGGAAATACATCAAACGATAACGAGATTGTTGCCATCTTGAACGAATTAGAAGAGGCAGGCATAATAAAACATGTGTGACACTTCCTTGACACTTCCGTGTTCCATGACACTTGCGTGACACTTCCGTGACACTTCCGTGACTCTTCCGTGACAGTTCTATGGCATGTCTATGAGTGGCGGGGCTAATTGGCAAGGCAAAGTGCTGACCATTATCGATAACGTACAATACTTACTGTCATTAGCATAATGAGTCTCGAAAAATTCGGACGTGGTTCGTTTTCACGCTCAGCTCAGATGGTGACAGTCAGATCTGGATTTTCACATACTCCAACCGGTGATATCGATGTTGGTCATTTGAAGATGTGTAACGTTAAACTGCCAACAGATGCCGCTGATGTTGCAAACAAACAATATGTGGATGAAATTATATCGCAAATAAAGTTAGATTTCAAGCTTGCTCTCGATAATTACGGTGGAAAAATCCGAAATTACCTTGCTGGCTTCAGCAACGAAATAATCGAAGAAAGGAAGAGAGTGGATGTACATGATCTTAAACTGACATCCTACAATACAAACTTTGTTCAGTTGTCTGGCATAGTACACAAGACCAACGTACATGTGGAGCAGCTTCGCAACAATTCTCTACCAAAACTCGAAAGCGACATCGACTTGAATGTGAAAAATATTTCAGAACTTGTTGATAAGATTAACAACACTGTGAAGAGTTTGCACGATTTGAGCCGGGATTGGCGCAGTGGAAGAGCATCCGTCTCACGACCGCAAGGTCGTGGGTTCGATTTCCAGCACGGGCAAGGAACTTTTTTCAATATTTTATTTACGAATTAAATATTGTAAAGTTTCGGAGCATCGGCTGGGGATAGTCCTGCACGATTCGCTGTTGCGTTCCAATTAACAGTGCTGCTCCTAAAGTGGCGCATGGAGTTAGTAACAAAGCCTACACAGAACACGCAGAAAGATATGATGATGTGGTTGTGAGCATCAGAGAAGAAGTGGGACGGTGTATGTAGGTGGGTGTAGAAAACTACCAGCTGAGCGTGAGAGCGGGCCAGCTGCTTAAGTAGACCTCGGTCTCGGGGGTTAACGATGATAGTTAGCAGGCCTGCCACTGCGCATATGGTAGTGAGTACATTACTAGCCTACAAAACACAGCTGAAAAACTCTGAAAAGAGAGCTGAGGGGCGGTGCCTGAAAAGGATGTTAGCCAGCTCTCTTGAGCGAACCACATCAGTCATTGAAAACACTTGGGGTTGGCAAAAAGGTCCCATTGGGGACTAGTTGCTGACGTGGAAACGTCCCCCACCAGTACCAGTACCAGTACCAGTTGCACGATTTGAGGGTTGAGCAGCAATAGAGTCATGATAAAGAACGTCTGCTCGCTGATGCCATTGCTAAAATCAAAACGGATATCACCAATATTGTAGCTCCGAAATCTTCGACTGTGACACTACCACCACAACCACCACCAAAAACAAAACCTCCTTTGTAAATCATATAAACTCCTTGTGTCATCGTTTCTTACATCATTATCCACGTTGCCAACATGTTACATTCTAAAGAAAAAATCCAACTCGTTAATGAATTACATAGACCTGCACGTAAGAAATTCCCTAGACGTCGCATCATCATCAAGGGCTTGGCTGCACACGACTCTTATCAGCGGAAGCTTCATTTGGTGTTGTGTGTATATTGTTGATAAAACCAACATGGAAATATTCCACCATAAATTTATTTCGATGTAATACTTGTGTCTTATCTCTAGAACGCATCTCTCGCTTTGCTTTACCTCTACAGATCCGTTGCGAAGATAAGCGCGCGCCCCTGCAAAGGTCCCTGGTTCAATTCCCCAGCAGCGACAGCTTTTTTCAATTAATTCATTCACGATGGCGACGTGACGACGTATGAATAATTTGAATTTCGCGACGGTTTTTAGTGGGCGTGGCCTCCAACCAAATGCTGGTCTCTGATTGGCTTGGGCTGGTAGTCACATAGCCCCTTTACTGATAGTATATGGTTCCTCATTTTCCGAACGTACTTCCGATCACAATATACAAATCAATTAATTCATGATGACAGAAGTGTCAAATGGCCTTTTGATCCAATAATAATAATAATAATAATAATAATATGTCTTTATTCATATTGCCAAGAATATAATACATAATTTTTCGTCGTTTTTTTATTGACAATATGTAAGGGCGGAATTCAATGCCGTCAATTATTCATGGCGCACTTTACCTTTATGATGCATAATGATTTGGATCGAGGGAAAGACCGCCTGAAGCACCAGTTCAAGAATGATTATGTGAAAAATGCGTTCGTTGATGAAATCATATACATATCATGAAAACAAAGGTTCATTTCCTCTAATGTGTGTTCAATGCGCTCCGCTACGGGTCGTGCATCAAACTTCACACGCAGACAGAGATGAATACCTTTCCTTCCTTGATATATAAATAGCTATTTATGTACCAATAATGACTGAGACATATGCATAGTGCAATAATTTTCCCCACATAAAAGATATTTGCCCATGTTCCCTCGTTATTTGCTATCGATGATTCCTTTGCGAAGTTGTGATACAGTGTCCCAGTCTTTCACGTCTCTGCTGAATTGCCAGAAAACTAATCTTATGAGATAAGCATCGTAGCATCATCTTCGAGCGTTTGGCTGGTTCGATTCCCAGCGTCGACACTATTTTAATTCACCGATTGACCGACATCTGTGAGCGATAATGCTCTTGACTACATCTCGCTGATACCTAGTGTGACAATCTTACTTCCACGAGTTACGAAATATATTGTATCACTACCAACATCATCTTCAAAAACGCGAGTTGAAAATTAATTTTTTTACAGATATTTTGGACCATCGAGAGGGGCCTATTCTGACGTTCTAGCAGAACAGTGAATGGATTTGTTGAAATGAAATGATCGACTACATGAGGAATGTGAGTGTATCTGAAATCCGAATAAAATAACTATTCAGTATTCCAGTATTTAATTTCATCCTTAGAATTCATGAGTTAAGCTTCATGAAAGACAATACGATGTTATGACCAAATGTGATCTAATTCGTATACATTATCGAACTAGTATTTGTGACCATCCACTTTATTTTGTTCCTCAGTTCGAATCTGAAAAAAATCAATGATTTCGATTTTTTAATCATACAGATTCATACAATGACCAGCCATGTCGTTTTTATTATGGAAATATTTCAAGTCGATTATTCACTCTTGTTAAAATCTTTAATTAATTGCTGGTCGTGAAAATCGTTCATTAGATATTGATCACGATCGAAATCAGATGGACATTGTTTGCTCAAAATTATTCTTGCACTCTGAAACCTTGTCACCAATTCTTTTGTGCCTAATTGGTACTGACAGTAGTACTGTCTCATTGCAAGTTTTGTCCAAAATACCCATGTTTGTGTCGACACATTCTCAACTAATCGTGCCAAAAAGATATACTTGCCTGATTCGCAACATTTTGTACACATGCTATCGAAATGTTTCTACTTTGTGTCAGTTTGAATTGTCCAAATATATCGAGGAAAATGCGTGTCGATACTGAATAGATACAAGTCAATCTGATTCGTTCCTCACTGAAATGTTTTTACTTCTATTCTGAAATGGGTTGAACATACACAATAATCCTCATTTGGGTATATATTGAACATAGAGTTTCTTTATTACAATGAGTACGGGCACATACATGTTCAACTGGGAACATTTCAAGGACATTATTTCTATATTGTTCCAATGAAGTGTTTCAAGTTCAACAGCAGATGATTGAAGTAAAATGAAGAAAACATAAGAAGTGCAAACTGACACTAATTACCGACGTCTGAAAAAGTTGAAATTGCCTGAAGCAAAATGAGTGAATTGATGGAAAAAACAAGAGCGAATGCGCCTCTTTGACAAACAACATTCTGGAATAAAAGGAGATCTAGAAACAAAGTTGATGTCCACAGTATGGAACACCATCTTTTCACTACGCTGTTGGACAATTGCACAATTGTATCATTTCCGATTGTTTCAGACAGAACATTGCCGATATGTGTCCACTGCTTGATAGAAACACATTTTCCTTGGAATTATGAACCTAGATGTTTCATAGGTAACTGAAATGTCTCTGTGGGCGCGTTCAATCCCCAGGAGTACCCTCATGTCAACTATTATCAATACACTCTTATTCGCGAGTAAAACACGACAATTCAACAAATACATGAGATCAACTATTTTGTCATGTTTTCTGCTTAGAAGTGAACTCCGTCAATTCTGTAATGATGATTTGATAATTCGTATCTATTCGGATTTGTTTTGATATCTACACAATAAATAAAATATGATAATTCCTGTGGGAATTGCAACATCTTGTAATGACTTTGTGGCTCCAGAAACAAGATGAACAGATTGTGGACACATCGAACCTCAACTTGAAATACATATTGTAATGATATTTTGCCTAGAGGGGCTCTAGAAACATCATCAGTAAGACAGGAGTACAACGATCATTGTGTAACACGCATCTCAGATTGTTCTCCAACCCCCTGATGATTCCTACATACACCAGCATATTTCCGAACACTCGATATATTCCGCAGTGACAAATAACGTGACAGAAGATTCTGGAATGTTCTGGAAACAATCGATAGAACAATTAGAGAAAGGGGTTCTGTTCTGAGAAGCTTCTAGAACAGAAAGAAAGAGACGGAAGATCATTCGAGAACGTTCTCGAACCAAAGCCTTCTAAGGGATCTCATATATCAAAGGCTGAACAACTGCCGTCAGTCAGTTAAGCAGCGAGTGTCAGAGAGACAGTTATATACTGCGTGATATTAATCGTTTCACATAGATAGTAGTTATTAGTTCGATATAAATTAGTGTTTCTTCAGTTCAAATAAATCAGTTCGAAAATAAATAGTGTCGTGTTAGCTTCCGCACCCGAATAACGTAACAATTGGTGTCAGAAGTGGAATATTCCAGTGTGAAGTGAACATCAGACTGTCGCAATGAAGGAACTAAACGAGTTGAAAGTGGTGGACTCGAAACGCGAGTTGAAGGAGAGAGATCTCGACACGACAGGGATCAAGGCTACATAAAGAGACGTTAATCTTCGAGGAACCAGCTTCAGCAAAATCGATGTTGGCTGGTATCTTGGAACAGATAGCGGCCCAGCGACAGGACATTGCGCACCAGATGGTGGCTCAGCAGGAGAAGATCACGGACCAGATGGTGGCTCAGCGACAGGATATAGCGGCTCAGCGACAGGAGATCGCGGATCAGATGGAGAATTGACTCAGATATCAATACACCGGGAAGAAATTATGACTCAGATCGCTGCTCAGCAAGAACAGATCGTTGCTCAGCAAGATCAGATCGCGTCTCAGCAGGACAAGATCATAGCTCAGGTTTCAAGTCAATTCACCACTCAGCAGCTCGAAATAGAAAAAAGATCTTTGCTGGAGAAGTCTGGAAATGGTCAGGGCCAGATGCAGCGACTACTACCAATCGAGTGAAACCGCCTACATTTGATGGAGAAACATCATGGCCAAACTAACTGAAACAGTTCGAAGCAGCTTCCAAAGCCAATGGGTGGACATCCAAGGACAAGGTTATGGCTCTTACAGTAGATCTACTGGGTGATGCATTGAACATATTGCAAGCCATTCCGGAAGGTGAAGTCGATAGCTACGATCATATCGTCAAACGTCTTGACATACGATATGGCCATGAACAACTGCAGCAAGTGTTTCAATCACAAATAAAGAACCGTCGACAGGAAGCCACAGTCAGATGGCATGGTGGAACAAATGAACCGCACCATAAGGAGGTATCTCTGTAAAGTCATAGATCGTCACCAACAAGACTGAGGTCAACATTTTTCTTCCTTCTTGATGGCCTACAGGTCTGCAGTACAGGAATCTACAGGACAGACTCCGGCGAAGTTTCTATTCGGACGAGAGATGAGGCTTCCATGTGATTTGATCTTTGGATGTAGACCTGATGAGGACATAGTGAGGGAAGATTACGTTACGAATCTGATGAAAAAGATGAACGATATTCACGAATTGGTTCGTTATATTCTGAAAATCGCCAGCGATCGCATAAAAGACCGATACGACATCAGAGCTGGGGTGCAGGATACTTAGAAGGAGACCTGGTGTGGTTGTACAATCCACAAAGGAAACGGAGTATCTGTCCAAAGTTACTGAGATCTTGGAAAGGACCTCATACCGTCAAGAAGAAGATCAACGATGTCATTTACAGCATCAGTAAAGAACCCAGTGGCAAACCAAGAGTCGTTCATTACAACAGACTAGCACCATTTGAGGAAAAACAAGATCAACAAGTTCAACAAATTTGTCTGGAAGAAAAGGAGCTTACATTCGACGAATTCATTGGGACATACAGTGGTTCATCAAAAGCAAGGTTTGGCGTCACCAAGAATGAGACCGCGACTTCTTCGCCATTCCTGTAGAATACCCACTAGTTCACTGCGTCGCCGAGGATCTTCAGATGTCCCAAGGAATAGCCAGCAAGTCCATGAGGAAGTTCGGGAAGTTAGAGGAGCTTTATCAACAGGGCCTCTCCGTCGGTCGGGCACTAGAAATAGAAGATATCAGCGCTGAAGGAAGAAGTTCTCTGTTTTATCTTATAAAGAAAGAAAGATTTCCTGAGGAACCCACTGACAAGGACCTCTACCACTAGTCGACTCGCGAAGCACCATACTCGAGAAGGACATACAGAAGATAGCTGTTCCAAAACCGGAGTGTGGACTAGATGGCTTGAATTGGAGAGTTGTGAGGAACATGCTAGAGGTTGTATTTAGATTCACCGGAGTTGAAATTGTGGTATGCTGCTGGAACTCCAAGAGAGAAGACAGTGCATGCTATTTCTACCATCCTGCACGTTCGCAGCCCTACTTTTACGGAAAATAGGTGCATTTGCGAACAGCAGCTCTTCGTCAGTATGGTATCGAGTTATCAAAATGAGTTGAAATGGCAAAAATTCAGTTATCTAGCAATCATAAGGTTAAACAAAAAAGATGGGGCGCCACTGCAACAATGTTACCTGAAAAGTTGAGCAACCAGATAATGAATAATATTAGTTGTTATCCCAGACTAGAAAACCCAAATTTACCTCAAAGATGTTGTGAGTTGGAGTGTCATGTCAATAAACAAATAAAACAGTCATATACAATACCCAAAACATTTAATCATGACGTTAGGACTCATATATCATATCACAGGTTTTGACAAATATGCATAATCAAGAAATATTAGATACTTATAACCTGTTGAGAAACTACACTGTTGTTGCCTGCTATTATGTGGATGAAAATATATAATTATGAATCAACCTTATATCGTACTTGGAGATTCAAAAGTTCCAGTAGGGACGTTTCATTGTCATAGCAGATTTAAACAAAATATTGAATATGGAAGAATTCTACCAGCGCATAGTATACTATGTGAAGGGGAGGTATGTACTTTTCATGTGTGATTTCATCAATTTATGACCTGGCTATGATTTGAAAATGTTCCATCATACACACTAGCAATGGGCATTAGGAGTGAATGAACATGAAAAATAAAAATATATTTTCATGTCAAAAACCTATATGTTGTGTCCTACACTAGTTATCCTTAATAAAAATGATTACAGTGCCTCCAGATGAAGCTGCTGATGGGAAGATTGGCGGAGAGCGGGGTGCTGACTCCACATCCCTGGATGTCAGATGACATTGACAGAGTTGTCGTCGTATTTTCACTTTGAAAATCCATCATATCAGGAAGAAACAGGGAACGATATCCAGAGTCCAGATTCCAGACTACTATATAGCCACCGAAGGCCTTGTAGAATTGACAGATCCTGGTAGAGCATTGACTCCTGGGAAGAAAAGTGCTCCTGGTACGATAACTCCCGTTGTAAAACTCCCAGTTAAACTCCTGGTTGAACTCCCG